ACACACACACACACACACACACACACACACACACACACACACACACACACACACACACACACACACACACACACACACATGCACACACACACAAAGGGGGACGCATGTAGGTGGATATATAGGCGCACGCACGCACGCACGCACGTACGTACGCACGCACGCATACACACACACGCATACATGCACGTACGCACGCACGTACGCACACATACATACACGCACGCACACATGCACGTACGCACGCAAGCACGCACGCACGTACACATGCATACATACACACACGCATACATGCACGTACGCACGCACGCGCGCACCCATGCATACACGCATACATGCACGTACGCACGCACGCACGCATACACACACATGCATACGTACATACACGCACGCGCGCACGTACGCTCGCACGCACGCGCATGCAAAAATGCACGCATACGAACAGNGAGAGAGAGAGAGAGAAAGAGACAGAGAGAGCGAAAGAGAGAGGGGGGGGGAGAGAAACAGAATAACTGATAACATTCACATATCAAACCTTGAACGGCTGGGACCGCGTCGTGTTGTTCATATGATCTGTAAAAACGAGTTTTATGTCACAGTCACACTACCGAGATTTATATTAAATATGAAGTGAATATATATATGTATATATATATATATATATATATATATATATATATATATATATATAATATGATATTATATATAGGCCCCTACTTTATATATATATATTCACACCACGCACAACAACACTGCGCGCTGCGCGCGCGCCGCACACCACACACACACACACACACCACACACACACACACACACACACACACACACACACAACCACACACACACACACACGCACACGCACACGCACACGGCAACACGCACACGCGCAGCGCGCACACACACACGCACACGCACCCGCCACACACCGTGCACGTCTACACGAACAACCGCGCGCACCGAAACACCACACACACACACACGCACACACACACACACACACCACCACACACACACACACACCAGCACACACACCACACACACACACACACACACACACACACACACACACACACACACACACCACATCACATTATATATGTCAAAGAGATTGATATCAATCTATGTACTATCATATATATCATCTACTACTGTTTATATTCATCTACACGGTAAGAAAAACAGGAGAGCGGCTAAGCATTGTATATATATATATATATATATATATATATCATATTTTAGCGGCTATATATCACAGTTTATGTGTATCTTATACATGAGAGTTCTATGTGTTCCTAGAGCGCATAATATTGTGCTAGCATAGTGAGTGTTTGTGTGTTTTAGTGGCTGGTGCCGCTGCGTGCGTGCGTGTTCGTGCGTGTGCCTGGCGTGTGCGTGCGTGTGTGTGTGTGTGTGTGTGTGTGCTGTGTGGTGTTTTGTGTGTTAGTGTGTGCGTGGCGTGCCGTGCGTGTTCGTGCGCGTGCGTGCGTGCGTGTGCGTGTGCGTGTACACATACCTCATGATTCTTCGCGGTACGAAGCGAGTTCGCGGCGAGTCGTATATGCTCATCAGCTTCGCTTGCACTGATCTATGTCTCGCCGACTGAAAGCACACAACCATCATCATCATCAACGTCATCGTTCATCGTCATCGTCTCGTCTCGTCATCAGCTCATCGTCATCATCCCGTCTGCTGCGCTTTATGTTCATGCTCATTGAATGCGTTGCCATAATAATAATAATAATAATAATAATAATAATAGCAATAGTAATAGTAATAATAATAAAATAAAAATAATATATTAGCAATAGTATAGCTAATAATAATAAAAATAATAATAATAATAGCCAATGTAATAGTAATAATAATAAATAATAAACAAATAATAATAGCAATAGTAATTAGTAAAATAATAAAAATAAAAATAATAATAATTATTATTATTATATCAATAAATGTTATTATTATTATTATTATTATTATTATTATTATTATTATTAGTTAAGGATACTTACCTCTGATTTCACGGCGGCGAATCCAAGTAAGAGTAGGAAGAGGACTTGAAGCGGTGACGTCAGTATTTGCGTTGACGTCATGGCTCTTGTTAGGTCAGTAGATGATGGGCGATATCTCCAGGGATTCCTGTCTTCTTCTTCTTCTTCTTCTTCTTCTTCTTCTTCCTTGTATTTTTTTTGTCTTCTTCTTCTTCTTATTCTTCTTCCTTTTCTTCCCTTTTCTCTCTTCTCCTACCTTTTCTTCCCTTTCTTCGTCTTCTCCTACCTTTCCGTCTTTATCCTACCGCTGTCTGTGAGTTTTGTCTTCCTATATTCGCCTTCGCTGTGCTTAAAGTCTTGCGGTTGGATTTCAAATCATGTCTGATTTTACTCTATGATCTCCTCTACTGATTCTACTCTATCCGCAATGCTGAAAATGCTGTCACACGCACTCACCCTCGTACACGTCCGTCTAGCTACTCGTCCTCTTCTCTTCTCTTTTCACATCTTCACTGCCTGCGCTCCAACCCTAGACTATCATAAAGGTCGTAGGGTCTGTGACCCGCGGGGGGCGGGGGCCGCCGGAAACGCCCCCCCCCTTATTAACCTGATCGTACGTGTCAACTAACTCCCTTTACGGCAGAACTGGGTTGGTGGGTTGATTTATCACCTCCCCATCTTGCGAGATTTTCAGCCTGTTCTGCTAGCATCTATGACAAATACGACATACGCATATACGCTTTCCTATGACACTATTTGTCATAGGAAGATTCTTCCTATGACAAATATTGGCGAGTCAACTTCTTTCCGCTTTACAGCTGAAATTCACTGCTTGCGTTCATAATAGCGCTCCTAAACTCCTATGATGCGCAGCGCACCACACATACAACAATATATGTCATAGGAAGAATCTTCCTATGACAAATAGTGTCATAGAAGAGCGTATATGCGTATGTCGTATTTATCATAGATGCTAGCAGAACAGGCTGATATAGTGTATAGCGATATAGGAGGGCCGGTGGTTGGTTTGCAAATCTCCCAGTATGGGTGAGAGGTGGGTTGGGTGGTTGGAAAATTTACGAGTATGGGAGAGGGCTGCATGGTGGTTTGTAAAACATCCAGTATTGGCCAGGAGGTGGTTGGGTTGTGAAATTTTTCTTAATAGGAGAAAAAGTGGCGGTTTGTAAAATCACTTACTATAGGACAGGGGGTGGCTCGGTTGTCCGATATCTCAATATAGCAATGTGGTTGGCAATTTTCCCAATATAGGAAAGAGGGTGGGTGGTTTGCAAAACTCACTCAATATAGAAGAGAGGTGGATACATGGTTGGCAAATTTCCCAGGATGAGAGAGGGCTGAGTGGCTTGTAAAATCACCCAGC